GTAATTCCTTATGCCCACATATTTGACCTTATGCTAAAAGCTTTGAAGTTATCCCCTGCAAGTTACTATCACAAGATATGTCCGGGCGGCAAGAATCGTGGGACGGTTACTTTCAATTCTTCCTTGCAATTGCTTGATGGTTTGCTTGTTCTGACCTCAATATCGGGTGCAATTTTAGATGGCTATGAAGATGCAGAAGCTATCACATCTATTAGGTACATGGAAAATGCATACGACAGAGAAATGAGAGACTACCACTACACCCATGTCAAGAGGCTAGAAAATGAAGTCAAGCATCTGGTCAGATGGTTAGTAGCAGCGAACAAGACAATCAAGAAGCTATGCAAAGGGTGGTACTACGCCGTCAAATATATGAGTTAGTATTCTACTCAAATACAAAACACAACGACTGCTCGACACTTAAAAGGGCAGCATAGCACCAAAGGGGTTATGAAAGCATCACTTGCAAGCATTGAAAAACTGACACAAATGCTGCCGTGTATTGGTACGAAGTGTGAACAGCCCCTGGAGACTACAAGAGATAGCTTTTGGTAAACTTCCATGTGCTCTAGATGCACCATCAACAACAATACATGCCTTTTGCGCATAGCTTGTCGCTTTAAGAACATCTAATTTGGCTCTATGATAGAATGAACCTTACCTGTGGTCTCCAACGATGCCATACGTTGTTTTTGTACAACTGCCGCCTATATTATAATCTATGTAACCCCAGATGCTATTACTGATGGGCACCACATCCATCTACTAATCTCATGCACGATAGCATTGTAAATATTGTATGTACCAATCTGCCCTTAAATATACTAGTTGACTGCCCGTGCGTTTCCACAGCTCCTTAAGCTTTTTGTCATCTCATAGTGTAGACATAATGCATGTTAAAAATCACACACACACACACATATATATATATATAAAATATAGACATGTAATATTCTAGAAACAATAAATTTGACTTCGCTTGAAATGTATATTTTAATGGATGCTCGTGCGCGATGGTCCGGAACATTTATAAATGCAATAAGCTCTTGCAATTTGTAGTTTAAGATTGCACCCAACCAATATCGATGATTTTTTTTTGCATCAGTTTTGAAACCACCACATATTCCTGCAATTTTTCTCCTCCAATACAAGTGCTTCCTTCTCAATCGCCCAGACATGAGCAAGACAAGGTATTGTCTTTATCCTCCCATGTTTTCATTCGTACCTCTCAAACTATCTCTACACAACCCCTCTCCTCCTCCGACCAACCCACGACCTCTAGAACCAAGCTCCCACCTCTGTCCTGCAGGTCCTTCCGGACGCTACTTGGACAAGAACAACTTTTCCAGTGCCTCCTCGATTGTCGATGGCACCAGCTTCACCTACTTGGTCTCAACCAAGCTTGTCGGCACCACCATGACTGTGGTGCCTTCTTCTGTTGTTCATCTCCCCCCAAATAACTTATCCCCATGGCGCTTCTCAGATGGTGTTTACTTCTACAAAGTCTTATTATATCTGCACTGCATCAATATTCTGAAGTGGACATAAGATGTATGAATGGAATAACTCAAAGGTGTGGTAGGGATCGTCTTCTCCTTTCAATGTAAAATACAACCAAATTTGGCAAATTAACTCAGATGTACACCACCCGCCTTTTTTCAGATATAGACAAATCCATAGAACTCACATGAATGACAAATAAAACTCTCAAAGGCTTATTGTTGCAAATACCTAGGGAGAAGACCAGAGTAGGGGCATGGCGGACAATCAGAGTCGGAAAACTAACGGCTACAATAAAAGAAGATGAACAGATGATCACCAGAGTCTATTTGGCCCGCTCAGAACCTGGACTACCTAAAAAAGGCTAGCAGACTGATGGCTGGATGGTTTTGGCTTCATGCTCACCATGTAGGAATGATGTGTATATGTTTCTTTGTCTACAACATGAGTAGTCAATACACTGCTCAGTTTGGACACGTTCAGTGTTCATGTAGTTGACTCCAGTAAGAAACATACTTGAGTTACAATTTTAATTTTTAATATAAATGCACACCAATAATAGCATAGTACAACTAACTGACTACTTCCTGGCACAAATCACATTTTCAGCACCGATACAAATCAAACCCAAGCTATAGCCTCATAATCAATCCCGGGCTCCAAGCTCACCCCTGAAGACCATGCCACCACTCATGCCAACGAGAGGTGGACGTAAGATTCAGAAGCAAGTAAAGCCTTTATGGCCTAGCAAAATGAATTAAGTTGGGCAGTGGATGACAAAGTTTAAAGCACAAAGAGAATTGATCATACCTTTGCCATCATATTAATTATTGAGCAGAACTTAATATGCTAGTAGTTTGAAAAAAATGAAGGTGTTGCTTATGCTTGATCTTACTCTAGAAGATACTACGCACCCTTCTAGCTCCCTTCGAAACGAACTGTTCAAACATTACATTACTCAAAAGGAGCAAATGTTTTATTCTCGAAAAGAGTGTATAACAAAATATTCTAACAATGCTAGGTATTGAACAAGTTCATGGCAATTATAATTGAATTGTTCAGCCTTATTACATCGCTTTTGTGACAGCTGCACCTATAGTAAATATGATAACAAAATAGGAATGTGCATACTAATTGGTTAAGAATGTGCATGCCAATAAAGGCAGCTAAAATACTACAATGGGAAAAATATTGTTGAGCGCAAAAACTACTGCAAATTCATTCAAAAACACATGCAGGCTAACACGTCAAATACTTTTAGCAGAATAGTACTTGCCCAAAATTGAAAAGATGTGTGTTGTCCCCTTTCCCGAAACATATTTGCATCTCCCACAAGTAAAAAAACTCTGAAGGATATGGGAACGGTAAGAAGATGTCTCCATTCAAAACATGGGTTAGTCATAATAGGACACTTGTGTGATAGCCTATAATCTGAAGTGAAATCATTCATCGGATGTAAGTCAACTGCCTATATGAATGTGAAATATATCAAGGTCCATGCGGAGGAAATATTATAAAGTTAGAAACAACAACACCACCATTAGAGATCATGAGAAGCATGCCATGCATGAACAAACATGAGAGAAAACCACATTCTTTGACCTGTTGTCCCCTTTCTGCTTCGATCGTTCATGTGAATTAGAATCATCAATCAGCTCAGTAGGGCATGTCCACATGTACCTATGAAGTTAATCGGAGCGAAAAGATGGACACACATCACCTCTGTCCGGGAATTTTAGAGTGCAAGCACATTAGGAATTTGGAAGTTGGAAAAGAAAATCACAAATCCCAGTTATGCAGCTACGTCAGTTCCTTTACTGCATGTTTTAATCATGACTGTCTCACGCAATGTAATATAGTGGAAGACAGAATAAAAATGTTAAACAAGAGAGAGAGAGAGAAATGCACCAGATATATTCAGCAATTTAGGTAATACCGTGGTACACGAAAGATGGATCGCACCAGCCATTTGAAGCAAACAACCGTCACAATGTGCAGGAACACCATATTCCTCTTGGCTTGCAACGCAAAAAGCAGGGCTCCAGCATATTAATACAATTTCAAATGTGAACATCACAAAGCAAACAGAAAAGTATGCATATCATCAACATACTATATGGATCCACTACAACATTGGAAGCAAAGAAGTACTGTCAGCAGTGAGGGGCCAAGATGCCATCAAACCTACACCCGTAAAGCATGTCATCCAGCTCACCTTTGACGAAGATATCCACAGATTCCCGCCTGATCCATCAGGGAATCAACGGGGACCTCCTTGGTCACCCTATTCTGCATCATTTATCCAAAATTCAACACAAAACTCAAATTGCAGACCAAAAAGGCACACAACAACAGCCGAAGAGCTAAATTATACTCGGAAGCAAGACCCACAGCCTTGAGATTGTCATGCCTGAAGAGGCAGAGCGCGGAAGTAGTGACACAGTTGGAGTTGACCGCCAAATTGACACCGCATGTGAGCACGATGGCGCCCATCTTTGGGGCATTCCGGCAAGCACCCTGCCCACGCTGCCAAATGCGTACTTCTCCTCCTCCTCGACATCCACCATAGCTCGGATAACCCCGACCTCCCTCCCCGCCGTTGCATTCTCCCGCGCAACACCTCCTACCACATGACCGCTTCCGTCGTGGTCTTCCATCTCCAGTGTTGGCGGGCTGCAGAGGAGATCGGATTTCGGGCCTCCGCCATCACCGCCATCGCATGAGAGAGATGGCGGGGTGCAGCAGCGGCGGCGCTGGGATGTACCGCGGTGAAGCACGATGCAGTGGTGGAGATAGGGAGGGGGGAGATGGGCGATGGCGGCGGCCGTAGCGACCGCAGTGGATGTAGTAGGAAGGAGAGATGGAAAGGAAGGGGACGGAGTGGTTTGGGCTTGCGGGAGGGAGCGAGGAGGTGGAGAACGTGTGGGTTCTTTGGGCATTGAACGTGCAGAGACGGGAACGATGGCGAGGGGTCGGGGTAGATTGGATCGTGGGACGGGTGTTGGTGGGGTCATGGTTGTTTTATTTTTCCTTTTTTTCTCGTTGCTTTTTCTGACATAGGGTGGAAAGGAGCGATCGAGGCAGGGGGGGGAGCGAACGAGGTCGAACCATCACGATGTTCAATCCCCCTTTAATATAGTAGAGAGTTATGTTCACTCTCACAATACATGTCTTACTATCGCCCCTTGCGCTATCGGCGTAACGGGTCATCTAGTTAGACAAGTCCCGTGGATGCTCTCTAACACGCAAAAATCAAATGGAACTGACAACCATTAATTGCCTTGCCTCTCGCGGCAACCGTATCAAACCCGGAATCAATCATGAAGCGACCACATTAATTGTCTTGCCTCTCGCTGGAAACGACCCCTCCTTCTCCATTCTCCTCTTCGCTCCTCTCCTCTCCTGCCGCACTCCATGGTTGCACGCCTGAACACGTACAAGAGAACCCCAAGCGTCAGGCCCCAAGTTGACTGGGCTCTCCCATCAGATCCAAGCCGAATATGTCATTGTCAATCGGAGGCGGAGGGGGAGGCGGCGCGGCTTTGGCCAAAGGGGACGTTGCTGGCCTTCTGGACAAGGCCGAGGAGCTGGACCAGCTGCGGAAGGAGCAGGACGATGTGGCCACCGAGATCAATAAGATCCACAAGAATATCATCTCCTATAAGCAATTTGCTCGAGGCCCGTCTCCCTTTTCCATGCTATCATTTGTCTGGTTGTCATTTAGGTCGATTTGATACAGATTTTGAGCTCCTTCGTATTAGTTACTAACATTAGGTAATTTTGGTGGGATGTTCGACATGCTTAGGAAAAAAATATAATTCTGTTTGACCTCTCTTTCACTAATCCTTTATGAAATGTTTTAAATACTTCTTCCATATTCAGATGGAATACATATAGTCACTGACACGCTTTTGAATTCATATAGATAGTTCATCATAGAAAATATAGTGCACTATATTTTGCGTTATATATGCATTTAGAATACATCATTACTATTTTATCAATCATTCTTACTGGTTTCTAATCATGATATTTGGCATACCATTACTTTTCCTCTACATGAAGATGACTACCTGATAGTAATTCCTTATGCCCACATATTTGACCTTATGCTAAAAGCTTTGAAGTTACCCCCTGCAAGTTACTATCACAAGATATGTTCGGGCGGCAAGAATCGTGTGACGGTTACTTTCTATTCTTCCTTGCAATTTCTTGATGGTTTGCTTGTTTCGACCTCAATATCGGGTGCAATTTTAGATGGCTATGAAGATGCAGAAGCTATCGCAGCTATTAGGTACATGGAAAATGCATACGACAGAGAAATGAGAGACTACCACTACACCCATGTCAAGAGGCTAGAAAATGAAGTCAAGCATCTGGTCAGATGGTTAGTAGCAATGAACAAGACAATCAAGAAACTACGCAAAGGGTGGTACTACGCCGTCAGATATATGAGTTAGTATCCTACTCAAATACAAAACACAACGACTGCTCGACACTTGAAAGGGCATCATAACACCAAAGGGGTTATGAAAGCATCACTGCAAGCATTGAAAAACTGACACAAAGGCTGCCGTGTATTGGTACGAAGTCTGAACAGCGCCTGGAGACTACAAGAGATAGCTTTTGGTAAACTTCCATGTGCTCTAGATGCACCATCAACAACAATACATGCCTTCTGCGCGCATAGCCTGTCGCTTTAAGAACACCTAATTTGGCTCTATGATAGGATGAACCTTACCTGTGGTCTCCAACGATGCCATACATTGCTTTTGTACAACCGCCGCCTATATTATAATCTATGTAACCCCAGGTGCTATTACTCATGGGCACCACATCCATCTACTAATCTCATGCATGATAGCATTGTAAATATTGTATGTACCAATCTGCCCTTAAATATACTAGTTGACTGCCCATGCGTTGCCACGGCTCCTTAAGCTTTTTGTCATCTCATAGTGTAGACATAATGCATGTCAAAAATCACACATATATATAAAATATAGACATGTAATATTCCAGAAACAATAAATTTGACTTCGCTTGAAATGTATATTTTATTGGATGCCCGTGCACCACGGTCCAGAACATTTATATATGCAATAAGCTCTTGCAATTTGCAGTTTAAGATCGCACCCAACCAATATCGATAATTTTTTTGCATCAGTTTTGAAACCACCACATATTCCTCCAAATTTTCTCTTGCAATACAAGTGCTTCCTTCTCAATCGCCCGGACATGAGCAAGACAAGGTATTGTCTTTGTCCTCCCAAGTTTTCATTCGTATCTCTCAAACTATCTCTACACAACCCCTCTCCTCCTTCAACCAACCCACGACCTCTAGAACCAAGCTCCCACCTCTGGCCTGTAGGTCCTTCCGGACGCTACTTGGACAAGAACAACTTTTCCAGTGCCTCCTCGATTGTCGATGGCAGCAGCTTCACCTACTTGGTCTCAACCAAGCTTGTCGGCACCACCATGACTGTGGTGCCTCCTTCTGTTGTTCATCTCCCCCCAAATAACTTATCCCCGTGGCGCTTCTCCGATGGTGTTTACTTCTACAAAGTCTTATTATATCTGTACTGCATCAATATTCTGAAGTGGACATAAGATGTATGAATTGGAATAACTCAAAGGTGTGGTAGGGATCGTCTTCTCCTTTCAATGTAAAATACAACCAAATTTGGAAAATTAACTCAGATGTACACCACCTGCCTTTTTTCAGATATAGACAAATCCATAGAACTCACATGAATGACAAATAAAATTCTCAAAGGCTTATTGTTGCAAATATCTAGGGAGAAGACCAGAGTAGGGGCATGGCGGACAATCAGAGTCGGAAAACTAACGTCTACAATAAAAGAAGACGAACAGATGATCACCAGAGTCTATTTGGCCCGCTCAGAACCTGGACTACCTAAAAAAGGCTAGCAGACTGATGGCTGGATGGTTTTGGCTTCATGCTCACCATGTAGGAATGATCTGTATATGTTTCTTTGTCTACAACATTATTTAGCCAATTTCTATGTCTACAATACTCTGCACGGAGCTAGTCTTGCTAATTGCTCTCACTTTCAATATGTATCTAGACCGAGACTTAGAGTCATCTAGATCGGTGTCAAAAGCTTGCATTGACGTAACTCTTTATGATGAACTCTTTTATCACCTCCATAACTAAGAAATATTTCCTTAGTCCTCTAAGGATAATGTTGACCGCTGTCCAGTGATCTACTGCTAGACCACTATCGTACTCCCTTGCCAAAATCATGCTAAGGTATACAATAGGACTGGTACACAACATGGCATACTTTATAGAACCTATGGCTTAGGCATAGGGAATGACTTTTCATTCTCTTTCTATTTTCTACCGTGGTCGGGTTTTGAGTCTTTACTCAACTTCACACCTTGCAACATAGGCAAGAACTCCTTCTTTGACTGTTCCATTTTGAACTACTTCAAAATCTTGTCAAGGTATGTACTCATTGAAAAAAAAATATCAAGCGTCTTGATCTATCTCTATAGATTTTGATGCTCAATATGTAAGTAGCTTCACCGAGGTCTTTTTTTGAAAAACTCCTTTCCAACACTCCTTTATGCTTTCCAGAAAAATTCTACATCATTTTCGATCAACAATATGTCATCCACATATACTTATCAGGAAGGCTGTAGCGCTCCCACTCACTTTCTTGTAAATACAGGCTTCACCGCAAGTCTGTATAAAACCATATGCTGTGATCACTTTATCAAAGCATATATTCCAACTCCGAGATGCTTGCACCAGTCCATAAATGGATCGCTGGAGCTTGCACACTTTGTTAGCACCTTTAGGATTGACAAAACCTTCTTGTTGCATCATATACAACTCTTCTTTAAGAAATCCATTAAGGAATGTTGTTTTGATATGCATTTGCCAGATTTCATAAAATGCGGCAACTACTAACATGATTCGGACATACTTTTAAGCGTCGATACGTGAGAAAATCTCATCGTAGTCAACACCTTGAACTTGTCGAAAACCTTTTTGCGACAATTCGAGCTTTGTAGTTAGTAACACTACTATCAGCGTCCGTCTTCCTCTTGAAGATCCATTTATTCTCAATGGATCGCCAATCATTGGGCAAGTCAATCAAAGTCCATAATTTGTTCTTTATACATGGATCCCATCTCGGATTTCATGGCTTTAAGCCATTTCACGGAGTCTAGGCTCATCATCGCTTCCTCATAGTTCGTAGGTTCGTCATGGTCTAGTAACATGACTTCCAGAAAGGATTACCGTACCACTCTGGTGCGGACCATACTCTGGTTGTCCTACGAGGTTCGGTAGTAACTTGATCTGATGTTTCATGATCATCATCATTAGCTTCCTCACTAATTGGCGTAGAAATCACTAGAACTAATTTATGTGATGAACTACTTTCCAATTCGGGAGAAGGTACAATTACCTCATCAAGTTCTACATTCCTCCCACTCACTTCTTTCAAGAGAAACTTATTCTCTAGAAAGGATCCACTCTTAGCAACAAAGATCTTGCCTTTCAGATCTGTTGGGCCATTTTCTCGGCCAGCCGAATGAAAGCTCTCCTCGTCTTGAAAGATTTGTAGCCCAACAGGCCTGACAAAGCGACTTACTTGGCAAATCACCAAAAAAACTGGGCTGTGGCCGTGGACCCAGCTGTCAGCCTCTCCACGTACAGTACTCTTCCGACAAAAGTCGTTCCTTGACCACGTTGACCACGCCGCGCGGAGAGCACCACGACGGTGGACGACGGCGAGGCCTAGGAAGGGGACGACGCGGAGCCGGGGAAGCCGCGGCAGTGGAAGCCCGCGCGGAGAGGAGTATGAGGGTTCACTGGTTCGGCTGCGGTGTGAGGCTGCCGTTGCCGCAGGGCCTAGCCAGCGGTGGGAATAGTAGGGGGCGGTGAGGCCTCTGCGGCAGCACAGCCAGCCGCGGGAGGCAGTAGCATGCAGCATGACCGGCGCTGCTTTGGGCGGCTGGAGCAAGAAGACCAGAGGTTGAAGAAGCACTACAGCCGTTGGATGGACATCGTACGGTCACTGGAGCTAGAATCATTCATATTGACTAAGTTGACAAAGCCCTTCGTCCCCGTCAACATAGTAGGCCCACAAGTCAGCCTCCCACCAAGGTGGGTCCCAGCTAGCTGAGGGAGTATTCATTTTTGTGCGTAATAAGGAGGCACTTCCGGTGGGTCCGGGCTGACAGCGGGGGGAACATTTTTTTCGCGAAGTACGGTGGCTCGTCCGGTGGGTCCCAGCAATCAGGGGGAAACGATTTTTTTTCGCAAAATACTGGTGGCCCGTCCGGTGGGTCCTCGCTGTCAGGTGGAGGAATAATTATTTTCCGCGTAATAAGGAGGCACTTCCTTGCGGCTACCGTGGACCCAGTTGTCAGCCTCTCCATGTACAGTACTCTTCCGATGGAAGTCGGTCGTTGACAACATTGACCACGCCGCGCCGAGAGCACCATGGCGGTGGACGATGGCGAGGCCTAGGAAGGGGACGACACGGAGCCGGGCAAGACACGGCAGTGGATGCCCACGCAAAGAGGAGTACGAGCGTTCACTGGTTCGGCTGCGGTGTGAGGCTGCCGTCGCCGCAGAATAACAGGGGGTGTGGGTGAGTGGAGGGATGGCCTGGCCAGTGGTGGGAGTAGTATGGGGGCGATGAGGCCTCCGCGGTAGCACAGCCGGCCACGGGAGGCAGGAGCAGGCGACACG